GAGAGAGAGAGAGAGAGAGAGAGAGAGAGAGAGAGAGAGAGTGGGAGAGAGGGAGAGAGGGAGAGAGAAAGAGAGAGAGAGTGAGAGAGATTTCGACGTGTCGCGCCATGTTGAATCTTGTGGCTAACACCCGCAAAGAGAGAGAGATCTCTCACACGTGTCGCGCTACGTTGAAACAAGTAGATAACACACCGCATTTGCGCCCATATTATGAACATTAGTAATGACTGCACCAATGAAAACATTAGAATCGATGTAAACAAACAAATAAATTTAAAATAGCGGCTGGCTGCATTTCAATCTGTCGTTCTATGTCACTAGAGATTCACCAAGCGACTGCGTCATACACAGACTCTAGTGACCGTGGATGATGGATCTCACCTTGAAAGACATCTCCAGAGTAAAAATCACAGTGAAAACGTAGTTGGCTGTATTTAACACGAATCGCTCCTGGAAGCATAAACAACGCCATGATAAGTACCACACACACGATACGGTAGACTAGAACCTCCTCCCTAGTCTCGTCATGGACTCTAGTAGAGGCAATCTGGCACAAGCACAGGGGCATCTTCGCCTGTAATTAGACACGGTCTCACATCTATAGTCTAACTATTATTTGTTTCAACTTCCACATCTACCATGTTTCGATCCTCTTGTTCTTGGGTTTCTTTTAACAATCGGTCTGTCAGCAGTGGGAATGCCTACTCTTAATCGCAATCAATCAACAAAGTAAAATATACCGATGAGTTTGTATAGCAGTGCCTTCTAGTCTGTCACCTCGCGAACCGACTCCATAAAGAAGTGAGTTCGTCAATAGCACTTGCTTACCAATGTATGCTAATGTAAGCCGCTAAATGGCAGGGCATTGGTCTACCGGGACTACGCTATCATACATATTACTCATAGAACATGAGCCAAGCCCTTGCCCTAAAAAGATGGTCACGGCACCCATCACCGAACATTATGAATTTAGTATCAATTTAAAGCTCATGATCTCTATTTTATCAACCCACGTGTGATGGTTGAACTTCCAACAAGAATCTTCTTATCATCCAACTGAACAAGAAGCTGTTGCTAAAGCAAGAAAATTGGCTCGCATGCAGGCCGAGAACTTACGGTGCTCTCGGGCGGTATGTTCGGTCTCTCCATCGCCAGCGTGATACAGTTCAGGGAGATGAAGATGAGGATCATGTAGTCGAACCAGCGCTGGTGAACGACCCACATACAACAACTCCTAACGCTGCAAGACACACGGGAAATCAGGTACATACTCGCACCGCGCTGCTGGTAATACTATAGCACGCTTACAGCAGAAACGTCCTTAATACTAGTAGGTAAAAGAACAGGTGATTTAATGCGATGTCGCATGATAGTTATTCTTTATTGTTGACCGCATGAGAGATATTCTTACGGGTATAGGTATTAATTGTAGATAGTATTGGTATAGGTATAGTAGGTATAGGTATAGATAGCATGGGTATAGGTAATAGTAGGGTGTAGGCGAAGATATATTTCTACTTGGTTGGAAGGCAGAGGGGACATAGTTCTAATGCTTGCTGATTGACAGATATTCGTCAAGCCTAGGTCAAGCCTAGTAGTCGGTATCAAGATATTTATGATATTTTTTATTGTCGAGAGACTGTACTTTCGGAAGGGAGAGAATTGAAGAGGAGAGAGATGTGAGAGAAGAGAGAGAGAGAGAGAGAGAGAGAGAGAGAGAGAGAGAGAAGAAAGAGAAGGGGGATGGAGAGAAAGATACAGAGATTGAGACCGATCACAGAACTGATCTACGCGAACGATGACAACAACAAACGTGCTGAAAACGCGCAGACAGATTGTGATTACACAAGATCATTGCGTACTGTAAGGCCTGCGATGAACCCAGGGCCTTCAACATACAGGCAATAAATATGATTCATGTTTCGATAACGCATGTAGGTCTTGCTAATGTGGTTCACAAACATGCCCATATTTCAGGCAGAATACATACGACTGACACGCGAACACAGAAAGTGCGAAAGTAGGCAGCATAGATTGAACGACATGCAGAAAACGAACGAGGGGGGAATAAGAGCTATCAATCAATTCCACTTTTGCTCGAAATGCACTGCTATACTCGATGCTGGCAAATATTGACCGGCGCAGTTCTGCTCGACGTTGTAGTGATTTCAGCAACTGAGTCTAAAAACCCTATATGTAAGTGTACACCGTACGTGTCGGTTATACAGCTTTTCTCTGTATACGCCGACAGTTGCAAAACATAACATGTAAATTTAATACCAAATACATACACACACCCACGGACACGCACTCACACATACGCCCACATGCCCGCGCACGTACGCCGCACACACACACGCACACAAACACGCGCGCACACACACGCACGCACGCACGCACGCACGCACGCACACACATACATACACGAGCACGCACCCGACCATACACATGCATAGGCACACGGACACACGCGCAAAGCTTCGGGAAATAAAAATTGCATAACCACCCACATGCAGACCAATCAAGCAGAATGGGAACATCCCCAAACAAAACGAGTATATATCACAGACATACTAACACGCATTTTCAGTTAATGGGCGAAACTGGAAAACATGCAGCCATCGGCCAACCTACTCAGAGGGAAAGTGTTACCAGTTGGCAACTTCCACGTGCTGTTAGTGGGCGTATATCATGCCACAAACAGTTGTTATCGGGCGAATGAACCTTTAGTGCGGCTGCTGTTACGATATTTGTTAGCCGCCAACACGAAAAACGAGTCAAACCCAACCAACGGCTCCGATTCGCAAAACTAACAGCTTCAAACGGCTTTTAGTGTGTGAATTCACATCACACGGAGCAGCGATGCGCGCTAGTGGGCGACACACGCACACACCGCGAGATTTTTAGTGTGTGAATTCCACACCAGGGGGCAGCAGCGATGTGAGCACAGGATGGGCACGTGCGCCCACGCCGCCGCGAGATGTTTAGTGTATGAATTCCACACCACGGGGTGATGGGGGGTTGGAGCGGCCAGCATCCAGGGTTGCGGCGGAGGCGGCACACCAGACTTGCGTGATACAAACCGTTGAGCATATCCCGCCTTTGTAACTCTTCCTCTAACTCATCGTCGTCTAACGACATCGCCCACGGCGTACTTTTCCTCCGCTTCTCCAGCTTGCGCTGTCGCTTCGCCTCCCTCAGCGCCCTCTCCTCGCGCTCCTGAGTCGCGCGACACTTGTGGAAGTTTTCGACGACGACGCCGACGAACATGTTGAGCACGAAGAAGCCGACCAATAGCAGGAAGGAGATGAAATATAAGAGGCGCCACTCGTCGAAGTTCTCGATCGGCTGAAACGGAGAAATTATTAGTAGAAAAGAAATACAAATAGAGGAAGTCGATAATATTCTACTTGGTTTATTGCCATCGCATATGGTATTATATGAGCGTACAAACACGCGTGCGCACACACGGACAGAAATGATACGTGTGTGGGTGAGGTAGGTCATCGACTCATCGCGTTGGTGTACGCGCATGCGTGCGTGCGTGGGTTAGTCTGTGTGTGCGTGCGTGGGTTAGTCTGTGTGTGTGCATAAATGCGTGCGTGCGCGCGCGCGTGCAAATGTATGAATAATCTACCTGCTGATCTATACCGACAGCATCGATGCCTGTGTACATGATCTGCACCCATCCGTCCTTCGAGGAGAGCACGAACAGAGCCATCAGCGCCTGGCCAAGGTTGTCGAAGTTGTATTTCTGATTCTGCCACTCGTTCCTACTGTCCTGCTGGCACTGGGTTTTGTTGCGTACGTGCTGCACATCCGGCCCGTCGCAGTAGAAGAATTTGCCCTTGAACAACTGCAAGCCGACAGACATGTTTCAGTAGAAGGAAGAAATAAAGACAAATAATAACTTCGTCCAGCGGGAAAGGAACAAAGGCAGCAATAACAGCAGCAGTCCCTCTCTTTAATTGACGCGTCCACCTAGCGTGATTGACAGGCACCGTTTGCCAACCGCCCCTCTCCCTCTCTCCCCTTTTCCCCCTCGTACACGGACCTGCACTCCGAGGATGCCGAAGATGATGAAGAAGGTGCAGCAGATGAGAACGATGTTACCGATGGGTCGTAGCGACGAGAGTAGAGTCTGTACGACCAGCTTCAGTCCCGGAGCGCGGCTTATCACCCTGTAACATACGTAACGCGAGACTGATTACCCTGTAATATACGTAACGCGAGACTGATTACCCCTCGCGTTACGTATATTACAGGGTAATCAGTCTCGCGTTACGTGTGTTACAACTGATCACCCTGTAACACACGTACCCTGTAATATACGTAACGCGAGACTGATCACCCTGTAACACACGTAACGCGAGACTGATTACCCTGTAATATACGTAACGCGAGACTGATTACCCTGTAACACACGTAACGCGAGACTGATTACCCTGTAATATACGTAACGCGAGACTGATTACCCTGT